CGTTTCACCAGAAACTGAACGAAGTGAATTGATTCGAAACCGTACTGAAATCAATTATCCTTTGTCGAGGTGGAACGTTTACTTTGTGAATTAAAGAACGAAAGCCGGCAACGGTTTGGCGTATTAGGCCGGCTCGGGTGAGAAAAATATGCACCTCGTTGCGAACTAATATTTGAGAGTCACAAATTCTCGCGTTGCAGTAATTACAGGTTTTTCCTGGCTGCAGCTTGAATCGCTCGTGAATCAACGTTGCCCCTTCCCATATAAGCAAAACAGGGGCAACGGTCGTAAAACACTGACGTTTTAACGGGATCACAAGTTGACGGTAATTTATTTCTTTCGCGACAATTCCGATCGAAATTCCGATAAACGATTTTCACAAAAAAGAACGCGACAATATCTGAGCCAGATCCTTCTTTAAGAGGATACTAGCATCCGAACTTTTTCTGGATCTAATCCACTTCTCCTTCCGCCGGATGTATTGAAAAGTCTTTCGTTGTTATTTTTCCTTTTTGGATAATTTTTTTTTTTAGATTATCTTTAAGAACGAAAATCGAAGCATCTCGCAGCGAACATTCGAACTACACGTGACTCAAATATTCTTCATTCACGCTGCAAATTGTTCTTTCTTTCGAACCACAGAAAGAAAAAAGAAACAAAAAGAAAAAAATGTACGATGTTCCGAATTCTCGAAACTCGAAAATTTCTTTGATTTCGAGAAATCTCCAATCTCTACACATGCTTATTTGTCTAAATTTCATTTTCGTAGCATCGAACTTTCATAGCTACGTGGAAGTGAACGATATAGAGCTGCATGATATAAAGGAATAAAAAAAAATATTGGCCTGCAAATATGTTCTGCAGAGATTTTATAGATTACTGAAAGTTTCTGGCTTTAACGTTCTCTATAAAATTTATGAAATTAGAAAAATTTTACAACGTGTGTTTCGGTTTAATGGGAAATAAATCAGACGCGGCTGTAAAGAAACTTTACGAGACAGGATATATGGACAGGTTAAAACGTTTCCACGTAGACTATCAATCAGCCAGTTTTTGCAGTTTATGATCCTAGGATGGTCAAACAGAGATCTAGACAATGAATATAAATCTAGCTTGAGATCTTTATAAGTGTGACATTTTAAGCTGTCCTCCTCCGACATTACGCACGACATCGTAGATCATCTTTCAACTAACATCGATCGTAGAAAGAAAAACATTGAAAACAAAAAAAATTACTCTGTCAATAATACATGACATTTTTATAAAATGTATATGCGAAATTTAAAAGTGCACAAATGCATAAAACGCATGCAATATGCAAATATATGTACACATATAAAATAAATAACCTCATTATAATTTTTTAATCAACGAACCAATCTCGGTATTTATCCTTTATAGTCGTGTTCATAAAAATGTAAATTTCCCGCAGTTCAATTAAAAGTGAACGTCGGGCTTCTCCGTGAAATTTATAAAATTCAAACGTACGCGCAGCGACGGACAGAAGAAAATGTAATTGGAGTCAGTAACCTTGTAAAACAAATGTATAATTAACAAGAGGGCAACGGGTAAATATAACATATATATCCCAGCGAAAAAGTTTTTGGACATCTCTTTATTTCTAATATTCGGCATTTTCGTCGTAGGTAATAAAATTTTTAATTTATATCTATACTTTACATCGTATCAACACTTTGTAGGTTACTTATTTTTGAAACAAACACTTGTACTTGTTAACACCTTGAATATCACGCTAAATTTCTTATTATACGGTAGATACTATATTGAGATATTAGCTGCGAGAGATAAGTTGAAGAATAAACATGTTTTTCAATCAATGGATTTATTTTACTGAGGGTCACCGATGGCATTTTCGATTTTCATTTTACTTTTAATTTTTAATATATGGTGAAACTGAGGGTTGCATTTCTTCACGTATAAACTATGCCATGAAATGGAATAAATGGCAAGAAAACCAGGATCGAGCAACGATTTTGTAGATGTTATGGAAAAAATTCAAAACGATTAAGCAGAGCAAAAGCAAGAAATTGTATCAAAAAAGTCGTCATATTGTGAAGGCTGTATTGATTTAACTTTTCTTTGTTTGCAGTGCTTTAACATGTCACAATATGTTCATATGAATAAAATAATTTTCGTATATTTCATACTGCATTAATTTCTTCACCCCATTGTAGTAACGATAATATTGAAAACTTTGAAAGTAATTAATATTTACTCGGATTATGTGTTTTTACTTTACTAATCTTCGATTCGCCGGTCACCGATGGCCCCCATGACACTCAACGTGTTAAATGAGACTTTCGAGCCAGAATAGATGACTGTGGCCAGCAACGTTGAGGGAACTTTCTCCTTCATTCAACGCCATTTGTATCGATATCGCATGGAACGAAAGACTCGTCCCAAGGCGTCTTCCTTCTCAAGGACGGGCGCAAGGATTTGAAAGCTCAAAGGTCAACGGCGAAATGAAATCAAGGCTAGCTCAATACTGAATTAGGACGGAATTCAAGGATTTATCAAGGATTAACTTCTGCACGCTGGTAGCTGCAAGTCGCCTCTCGTTCCCTAAATCGACCCCGCCATCACCATTTTCAGCTTTAAGTCTTCGCGCACAGTGGAACTTTATGTGGGTTAAGTAGAATCATGGTCCGTGCCACGCTCAAAGGATTTAGGAGTCAGGTGTAGCCGGCGCTGCAGGATTTAAAAAAAAAAAAA